AGAGGGAACCAACTTTTCACATCAAAAATATCCTGGAATGCATCAGGCCAACACTGGGCAAACCTAGGAATCTATAGTTCAGTCTATCTAATTTATTTATTCATATCATACTAGATATTTATTTAGTATCTTTTCCAAATATAAGACACTGGAGTAATTCTAGCAAATAACATGTCTTAGTCATCTCGTGCTGCTCTAAGAGAAACACCACAAGTGGATGGGTTTAACAAAGAGAAGTTTATTCTCTCACAGTCCAGTAGGCTACAAGTCGAAATTCAGGGCATCAGCTCCAGGAGAAGGCTCGCTCTCTCCGTCGGCTCTGGAGGAAGGTCCTTGTAATGCATGAGTCTTCCCTTGGTCTGGTAGCATCTCTGCACAGGAACCTCAGGCCCAAAGGACGCACTCTGCTCCCAGCACTGCTTTCTTGGTGGTGTGAAGTTTCCATGTGTCTCTGCTCCTTTCTTTTATTTCTCAAAAGAGATTGCCTTAAACACTATCCAGTCGTGCATACCTCATCAGTATAACTGCCACTAATCCATTTTATTAGATCATAGTGATTGAATTTACAACACATAAGAAAATCACATCAGATTATAAAATGGTACACAATCATACAATACTGGGAATCATGACTCAGCCAAGTTGACAGATATTTTGGGGGGACACAATTCAATCCATGACATAATGTATGGCACATATTCTCATGGACTTTATATTGGAACAGGAGGATATAAATTAATCAGAAAAATTCATAGTATTCAGTTACAGTTGTGTGGTGTGTGGAGAACAAGTAGAGTGTGCAACAGGAATATACAGTAGAAGCCTTACCTACCTTGCGGGACCAGGAAAGTCTTCCCCAAAGTTTAAGCTGAAGGTAGAGCAAGGGGAAGGATGGCCTGGAAGTAGTGTGAAATCTCTGAGTTGAGAAGATGTTTCTGGAGTGCTGAGAGTGAGGAGAGAGGTGTGGGCTGAAATGGTAGAGATGGCTCAAGTCTCAAGGAGGCCCGTAGTCTTTTCCTTAAAGGTGCTGTTCAGGAACACTTCATAACTGGATCTGTATTTTGTAAAGATTGATCTGTCTAGCAAGTAGTCAGTAGACTGAAGAGAGGCCAGAGTAGGTATGGGGAGACCAGATGGGTTACTTCAGTCTTCCAAACCTGACTTTTCCCTTATTTACATCTCTGCCAAACAAGGAGTAAAAGGAGGCTAATTTCAAGAAAGACAGTGTTCTGTAGTGGCCAGTGCTGCTGAGGCCAGGTAAGATGAGTTCTAAAAATGTGCATTTGATGTAGTATTGTAGTGGCCTCATGGGTGACCTCAACAAGAACTGTTACCAGTGGACAGAAGTTGGACAGAGACGATTTGGAGTGGTGGCAGTGAAGGTAGAGAGAAGTTGACACGTGTGACAAATACTTAGAAAGTGAAATTGATAGGGCTTGTTGTGTGCAGGTAGCTGCAGAGAGAGCAAGATCAAGAACCATGTCCACCTTTGTGGCTTAGGCACCTTGATGGATGGTGGTGCTGGGCTGCTAAGATAGGCAAGACTGAAAGATTGATGGGGCAAAAGATCATGAGATCAGCTTGGAACATACTGATGTTGATATTTCTTTGAGACAAACCAAGAGGAGATGTCAAGTAAGCCATTCAGTAGTGTTTAAATCTCATAAGAGAAAGCTAATTTGTGGTTATGAATTGAGAATCATCAGTATATAAGTGCTAACTAAAGTCAAATGCTAAGATCACTTGAGAGAGGTTAGAGTGGGAGGAGAGGAGGTTCTATGGCTAGACTTTGATGAAAGCCAACATTATAATGTCTGGTAAGAAAAGAATTCACCACTTGTCTGTCAGTTTGTTGTACTGTAGTGGCTTGTGTGTTGCTGTGATGCTGGAAGCTGTGCCACTGGTATTTCAAATTTCAGCAGGGCCATCCATGGTGGGCAGGCTTCAGCTGAGCTTCCAGATGAAGACAGATTAGGAAGAAGGACCTGCTGATCTACTTCTAAAAAAACTGGCCAATGAAAACCTTATGAATAACAGTAGAGTATTGTCTGATATAGTGCCAGAAGATGAGCCCCTCAAGTTGAAAGGCACTCTAAATACAACTAGGGAAGAGCTGACTCCTCA